CCAACTCAGATGGTAGCCAAGTCAGTTGGTAGCCAAGTCAGTTGGTAACCAAGTCAGTTGGTAGCCAACTCAGATGGTAGCCAAGTCGGTTGGTAACCATCTGAGATGGCAACCAAATGACACGGGAGACATCTGACTTGGAATGCGGCCCATTTGAAGATCACTTGATTTGGTATCATAGACTTATTATCTAATACACAATTGTTGCTTGTAAGATCAATTCGGTAAATTTCATTTTTCGGCGAACTTCCTTCGGAGAAAACTAGTTTTCGGCGAAATGCGCCTTCGGCGAAAAAATTTTTCGGCGAAGGTGGACTAAATCATATTTGACTAGTCAGGATTGAAAATTCAATTCTGCCTCGTCAAAAATAACATTTCAATTTCGACTAGTCAAATTTGAAATTTGACTGAATTTGAATTTTGACTACAACATAAATATAAACTAAATGACTTAATTGTAGTAAAAACATGGTTCGATAGTAGAAGAAATTGAAAAAGAATTGTTTATGTTCATGATAGATCTAATAAGTTCCAAATAAAATACATTCTAATTATTTTCTATATTAAAAGATGTTGTATTTAAATACTCCTTTTTTTATTACATCTTCTAACTCTAGTAGTTATTCAGAAAACTAATACTAATTGTTCTGATTTTTTTGACAATTATGATGAACTTTTATTCTAAAAACAGAGCATTTTTGATCCATTAATATTCTTTCTATACATACTCTTCAATAAGTATCTTGTTAAAAAGTTTTCAGTGTTATTATGCATCGAAAGAGCAATAATATTGACGACAACATGTAACAAAAAAAAATATTATATTTATCTAATACAAACTTTGTATTACAAAGTGATATTAAAATCTTCAATTGACTGTCCAATAAGTTTTTAAAGTTCATTGAAAAAAATAAACTTGCTGAATATAAATGTGCTATTAGTTGACAACCATGGAATAAATCAAAATGAATAATAGAAAAAGTGATACAAGTGCATTAATGTAGAGAAGAAATAAATACTCACAAGAATAATGAGTCAGCGTGCACAAAATACTAACATATAAAGTATGATTGCAAATCGTATTATACTTTTTCTTATGTGGAAAGAGAATAGACTTGAAAATACCTTACTCCTAACAATGAATGTTTGACGTCAGACACAGGTACGCCCTATCAAAGCAAATGAAAGGGACACCCAAATACTATATGTATAGAAAAAAAGACATTACAATAGAGTGTACCCAATATTACTTTTGTTTTATCATGTTTTTTTTCTTTTATGATCGATAACTCTACATATTCAGTATATGAAACGAATAATTCTTGTTGGAAGACTAACATATTATCAAATTCAAACTGAGGGTTTGTTATTAAATTTTCAAACTCGATAAATGTTATTGTACAGATCATCTCAGATTAATAAACTTCGTAGAGTCAAATTTTTGATATGACATATATATTGAATGATTCTGGGTACTTTGAAAACGCCAATTTCGAAGACTTTTTATTAAAAATTAGTATTAGCAATATGACATAAAAGAAACATTTATTTTCGCTTAACATAATTTATATTAAAGATCTTAAAATAAAATGGAATTCAATACATAATATCACTTCTTTTATTTATATTAATTCTATATCATTTTCTTTTGCAGGACATTTTAAAATGTCGAATTTGCTTTCATTGTTAACCTTATATATTCATCATACTATCTCGATTATTACTGATATATTAGCTTTCAGTCGAAGTAATACAATGCTTATTATTTGTCCGCCATGTGCTATTAAAGCTACTCAACTTCTTTCTGGTCCTATATCAATCTCTAATTTATTGTATTCTTGGCTCTTAAGTTTAATTTATATATATATTTTTTATGTACAATTTAATAATAGTAATGATATCGCAGGTGTTGAAGGAGATCGTATTGATAAACCAGAGCGACCAATTCCATCGAATCGTGTTAGCATAAAACGAGCTTGGCATCTTTATTATATTACAGTTATGATTTATATTGTTTATTCTTATTCAATAGGTCATTTATTTCCATGTTTAATATGAGTTTTTATAACAATTATTCATAATTTCACTACTATTCAAAATACAAGTATTGGAAAAAATAGTATATTGCCTCCAGGTACATATGCTATGATTTGTGTTGTGTGGTGTTTAATGAATAATGTTTCTAATATATATGATCATCCAAAAATCCTATGGAATATGGTTTTTAATTCATGTATATATTCAGTTGTTGCACTTCAACAAGATATGCGAGATGTTGAAGGTGATCGTGTTCAAGGAAGACGAACATTTTCTGTCACAATGGGTAATCGGAAAGCAGCACAATTAATTGCTAAAATTCCATTTTGTGCATTATTGTTTATTCTTATTGAAGCAAGTCTAGTTGAACAAGTGCATATAGTGAGCAGATCAACGTATATGCTAATCAATTGTCTTCCATTTGGAATACTGATTATACGAAATTTATTTTTATATGATGTGCGTAAAACATATGAATTCTATGTTCAATTGACTTTCTTTTTTTATATATTTGCGATGCCAATTATTAAAACTAATTGACTTTTTCTTTTCTTTTTACTTAAAAAACTTTTTTTTAATATCAGAGGATGTGGGTGTTGGTAAACTGGAATATGGGTATCGTTGACTGCGTTTCCTTAATACACCCACACCCTCGCGATAATGAAATAGTCACTAAGTGCATTTATTAGATTTTAACTGTCTATGACAATGAACATCTCGAAACAAATTTCCAAGACTTATCTATCTAGCTTTATTAATCAACAGATGTTTCTTCAACTTGAAATGGAATTTCTTTAATCAAGTATTCAAGAGTTTTGTATAAAAATAAGATATAGCACAAAAACAAATCGAAACTTTTTCTTTTTCGATTATTTGACTTCTTTATTATGAATTCCGGTTATCAAAGTATTGATTAAATGATATATTTGTGTGACATACGTGGTTAATCAATATTATTCTCATGTAGTGTACCGAAAATCAGGATGCTAAAAAAAAGTGAATCAATCAATGAAATGGTTAAGTCTTTTCGTGTGGCACATACCGAATCACTAGGTTCTGCTCCACATTGTCGGACTTCCTGTTCATACTCTTCACGTGCCAAATTATCTCGTCGTCGATTTTCATTGGAGAGAAGTAATTTTAATATTAATGAAACCATCAAAATGGAACACATAAAACCAAGACTTATCAAATGACCACGAATGAAGAATGGAGCTTCTTGTTTACGATAAATCTAAAATACAAATTTCTTCTGTAACATATAGTTTTTGTCAATAAACAAGCAAGTAAAAAATGCTTTGATCTAGAATCAAACTGCATGATTCGATTAATTCTTACTGTCACTTTATAATCTTTTGAATTCGAACTGGAATTGATTTGCATCAATGTCTGATATTTCTTGTCTACATGACCAGAAATAGAATGAAAATTCAGTTATTTATCCGTCCATCTAAGAAGAAAGTGTGAATAGAGATCTTTCCTCGTCTTTTTTCATATGATTCTCAAGGTTTGAGAAACTTAATGCAAGCCGACTTTGAAGTTAAACTAAGTATCGATGCGCAGTTCTTCAATAGAATTCATCAATAAGGTTGATCTTACGTAGTAAAAATTTAGTACTCAAGTACACGACATTTTCAGCTGCTGTGTATTCAATGGTGAACAGATGTTTTATTATTAACTAAAGATCTCTGATCAATTCGGTGATCAATTCGAATGTATATTGTTTCTCAAATATGCTTTTTCTTTTCCGATTTGAACGTGTTCTCTTTTTCAAAAACTAATTTGAGTGAGAAATCGATGATCATTATTGATCATCGACTACGGTTTTCTCGATTAATTCAATTTTGCAAACTTACATGGCCAACGACAATTCCACTGATATTTCCAAAACCAATAATAAATGCGGTTGCTACCGCTCGTTTTGTATGTCCTCCGATATTGTTAGTAAACCATGACATGATCAATGGAATTGGTGAATAGGTTCCGACGCAAGTAATACACGTGGCAATATACAATGCAGTCGAACCATATTTTGTTAAAGTAATTAATAATATATATCCAATAATACCAATTAATAAAGTCAAAGACATATGCCATCCACGTTCATTGAAACGACCAGCAGAAAATGAGATAAGTAGTGTTGATACACATGAAATAACATGTGGAGGTGCAGACATCAGTTGAGCATTGGCATTAGAAAATTTCATTCCATTATTAATTAATGTTGGTAAATAAATAATCAGACAATGTGCTGCTATTGAGTTACCCACATACATAAACATATACAGATAGATTTTCCAATCAGTGAATACAAAACGAACTTGTTGCCAAGAAAAAATTGATTCGTAATTGAATGAAGAGCCTGGATCTTCACGAAGACGATTAGTTAATATCTCTTTTTCGGTATTTGTTAACCCTGAAGGAGACAATCATACATCTGAGCAAGCATGAATTCTAACTTACACTGGACAGTTTCGGGTAAATCTCCAAGGAAAAAATAGGTCACAATTCCTAACGGGATACTTGGTGCTCCCTCAACAATAAAAATCCATTGCCATCCTTGAAGTTTTGCTAAATGATCTAGTAGACTGATAGCATAAGCCTGAGAAAATAACCAATAAAATATTTCAACTGATTACAATATTGCAGCACTTACTAAGATACCTCCAAAAGCACCGGATAGTAAAACTCCGCAGTAAAATATAGCCATACGAAATGAATGTTGCTTACGAATATACCATAATGAGAAGTAAAATATAATTCCTGGGAAAAAACCAGCCTGTGCTGCACCCTAAAAATAGAACAATTCGTCGTTATTGATGGAAGGTCATTGGTTTCTTCTTAGAATTGGCTTAGATTTACTGAGAAAACGCGATCAAAATTTAAACTCTGATTTGAGTAGATTCTCTATAGATAGTTCATCAATCTTCATTGATTATTAACCTCACGCAAGCGTTCAATATATTCATAGGATGATTCATACTATATCTTCAAAAAGATTTTCTTTGATAAATGACTCTATAAAAGCGTTGTTTCGTGAACTAATATCAATTCTAATTCTATCAACTTTCATTTCTGCAGATATTATCATAAAACATCGTCGTGGCACTCGCAAGCGAAACACAAAATGCAGTTATTTTCAATGAGGACGATCGTTAAGAATTTTATATCTGAATATTCTATCCAAGAATGTTTTCCACAAAAGTGGTCCAGATTGGGGAATAAGTATATTCTGACTACTGTCTGATGCGATACTTAGTTACAGTAGAAAAAACATACCAAGAGAAACCGAGTAATTAGTAGACCAGTTGCATTATGAATAAATGCCATTGATATCATAATTATCCCCCATACGATCATAATAATCGACAAAAATTTCGATGGGCCAATAATACGCATGAGAAAATTCGATGGAATTTCTAATACCATCTAATTACAGAGAAGAAAAAGGAAGAATTTTATTTTAATTCAGACGGTATTCATCAAATAAACTTACGAAACCAATGAAATAAATCGATACTGCCCAACTGGATTCCATTTGAGACAAATGTAGACTGTCTTCCATACCCGCGAGTTTTGCATTTCCTGAAAAAATTTCATTCTTTGCTCTTATTTGACATTTTGACCGTCAGAAAATACTAATGAATACGTATTAAATCGCGCTCTGAAAGCTACAGTGTCTTCACAGATAAGAAAAAAGCAAAATATTGAGCGTTATTTTTGATGAGAATTGTTCATTATGGGATCTTTTATGGACGATTTCATTTCGGACCAGAAACTGAAACGAAGCGAGAAATTGGGACAAACAATCAAGGTGTGAAGCACGTTCATCGGACCGAAACTCGGAGAGTGAAATAAAAAAAAGTAGGCAAAGTGAAGTTTAGTTATTTTCTCGAAATTTCTTTCTTGTGTATTCATCCATTATCTATACTCACATCCACACCACACTCTCAAGAATAAAAGCTCCAAAACTCGTTAACTGATGTCTGTTCCTTAGCTTTTTTCACCAGTGAAAAGTTCGTTCCTTGCTGGTAATTGAAAATGACTCACCGATATTGATTCGATTTAAAAATGAAATCAACTCGAGCAAAGTTAACAACGGTATCAAACGTTGATCTAACTTTCTTACAAGTGCTCTTTTTGCTTTCTTATAAGTTTCATCTGGTATCCGTAGATCAGATTCAGATCTTGCTAAATGATCAAATGTTTGTTGATCACCCACAATTGGAGTTATCGAAATCAGGGTTACCATCTTTCATAACAGAATATCTTTGATGTGATTATACTCGATGGGAATTTGTCGTTACCACAGTTCTACCTAAAAAAAATCTCCTCCTTTATACTATTAAAACTAGACATTATCAACGCGATGAGAAAGAGCAAAAAAAGAAAAAAATATATGACACTTCCTTTCTTCTTACAAAAATGACGTACTTTATATGACTCATTATTAATCCTTTCGGGGCGGGTGGTGCGTCGTATATACCAGTCTTTTTCTATAAAAACATGTTATGTATCAACGATGAGCAATAACTGTGTATTCATTAGAATGTGCTTGTAGTAGTGACGTATATATAGTTTAGCTTACCCACACCCACTCACACCCTTTTTTCAAAAAGAAAATAACGCCGTCCTGAAAGGTTTAACAAGATGTCGAGAGAGGATAGCATTGCACTTTATAGACATTGTGTAAGATGTATTTCTATCTAAAAAAAATTTTCAATTAAATTGGCATTTTTCTCCTCTGCTATTGATTTATCAACGGCTTGATTCCGCCCTAACGATATCATATTATTTATGTGAAAATTGCCAGGAGGTCAGCTACATTTTATCGCGTAAAAACATGACATTTCTAATTTGGATAAATGATTCATAACTCGTATAAAGTGTCGACGAAAAAAATAGTCTTGTTTACCCTCCGTTTTAGTGAGTCAATGTTAACACGTAATTTTTATTCCCAAGCGATAATGATAACAGAAAAAATGAAAACTAATCTTACTATAATATATTCTACACATTCTAGTATTTATATAAAAAAGTCGACTAGTGGTAGTTTAACACCGTGTTGGTTTTTTCAAAATTTCATTTACAAATAACTGTACTAATTCATCGTAAACTTCTTTCTGTGACTCTTCTGCATCGTTCTGAGTCATAAATGTTTTCAAAATGGATATGAATATCACACAATGCAGAACAACAGAAGGTTTCTTCCATTCTGTCTCTATCGCTTTTTATTCTCTTGCTTTGCTATTAAGAGCAGGTGTTTCTCTGTAAAAGTGAAACAATTAGAAATATAGATCCATTGAAGCGGGATTTGAAGCAGTTTATTACTCTTGCAGACAATTATAGAAGATCTTTGGAACAGATCGATGCGTCTAAAGTAGAAGGAATAATTTTCTATAGCTCTTTAGATATGAATCAAGAAGAAAATAAAGTAGTATGGTCTTGGAAATCCAATAAAAATCCTTGGTCGTTAAAACAAGCTGATGAATGGTGTGCATTTCCGTCTTTAATTAATAATCAAATTGAACAAGCTTATCTTGCTGATCAAGATCAGATCATTATTGATGAAAATTATAAAATTAATTTTAAGCATTTCTTACAAGTGAACATACCTGATGCAAGCAAACAACGACCGATTCGTCGATGTTTAAACACTCATATGATCTCGTATTATTGTCGTGAACGTTTTAATTTTGTTCAACCACTTCAACATTCGATTATGGATGATACTCCATACTATGGATCAGTCTTCATTACGGATTGGTTAATTATGTTTACTGAAGGAACATTGAAAATTGAATTTTCACAATTAATTAATGAGCTTATTAGTGGAATTTCAACTGAAGGTGAAAATCTTGATTTGATTCAAGAAGCTCAACATTTAAATGGAGAAATTCGAGCAATAAAAAAGAAAAATATGGAAAACTTACAGCAATGTTGTGCCCGTTTATACACCAAACCATGTTTTCTATTTAAAATTGTTAATGAAACTTTACGTGATAATAATCGTAAGAAATTAAAAACTCTTGGCCCATTTTGTTATCTGCTCTATAACTATATTGGCATTCGACATAATAAATATCTCTCCATACGACAACAAATCAAGCGATTGTTTAAACCTGCTGAAGAACAATTTTCATCGTTAACTGTCTATCGTGGTGAAGAATTATTATCGGAACAAATTGAAACTTATAAACAAGCTGTTGGAAAAGGTTTCTCTTATAAATGGTCATCATTTATTTCTACATCCAAATCACGTGAAGTTGCAGAAATGTATGGATCAAATGTTTTATATATTATACAAATTCCACGCATTTCATCAAATGATCAATATGTGGATTTATCATCGATAGCTTATATAAAAGATGAACAAGAGATTCTCTTAAGACCTGGTGTTCGATTAAGAATTGATAAATATCATTTCCATTCGAGAACACAACGATATGTTTTCTATGTACAAATTTTACCATCATTTATTTCAAATATAATGTAAATTGAGACGAATAATAATCTTTCGAAGAATAAACAAAATCAAACCTCTTAGACACCGCAATATTTAGCAAATGCGAATATTAGTGGATGTCGATGGGAGTTGAAATTAAGGCCTTTTTACTAACTTCAGTGTAACTAGTGTTAATTGCTTGTAACAGGAGAAATAAACAGTAATTGTCGGGGGAAACAGATGTGAATATATAGTTAGTAGATAAGCTATATAAAACTCTTAGCCTATTTTCAAATCAAAGAATTTCTTTTAATCTTTTCAGCCTAGCATTTTGTTTTCGTTCTGTACAAACATGAAGAAAAATTTCAAAGTGTTTCTGTTATTAGCAGTTAGGTGTATATCGATTCCAGTGTCCTTACTGTTGGGTGTGGGCGAAGATAAAGAAGGAGTATCCGCACTCACATCCACAAGACGTTAAGTTTAGAAAATATGAAGTAATGAACTGCTACAAATATCCTTTATTCTTTAATTGAAACTTTGAAAGTATCAATAAAAAAGAAAATTGCGAACTTTCAAGTTTACTCATAGGTCATCTTCAGACAAAATATTCATTCGAGATGAATATCTAATTTTCTTTCGCAATAGCAATAGGTACATATGCAAGTACGTTCACTGGTATTCTTTCTTATCACCATAATATCATCAAAAAAAAGAATCACATCTTTAGCATATATTATTTGATAGATAATAAAATGTAAATTATTAATCAGAAGTATATGTTATGTTTCTTCGGACTCGTCTTCTACTGAGAAATATTTTATTATAAAATTAACAATTGAAGAAAAATCAAGATTTGTCGTTCTAATCAAGTGAAAAACACCTTTCATAACTATTACATGTCAAATATTTAGATATATTGATTTAATTGTAATAACTATTTTCAAGAAATTTTCTTAGAAAAAAAATGCGCTTCAGTATAATTCTCATTGCAATATATATATCATCTAATTTTCCTCAGTTTAAGATTTTAATTTTAACAAAAAAGAAAAATAATGAAAAAAAATTATGAATAATAATAATAATACTTTATTAATTGCTAATCAATGGCAATTAGAACGTCAATTAGGTTCAGGTTCATTTGGTGATGTTTATCGAGCATTAAATATCCAAACAGGAGAATATGTTGCTATTAAACTTGAAGCGAATAATTCTTATTCACATCAACTAGCATTTGAAGCGAAATTATATAAATTAATGAAAGGTATACAAGGCATTCCAAAATTATTCTGGTGAGATTAATAGTAAATATACATATATATATATTTGATATCTGCATTACAGGTTTGGTGAAGAAGGTGAATATAAATGTTTAGTTATTGAATTATTGGGCCCATCCATAGAAGATTTATTTAATTTATGTCAACGACAATTTTCATTAAAAACTATTCTAATGTTAGTTGATCAAATGATCTTACGTATAGAATGTTTTCATAGAAAATTTTATCTTCATCGAGAGTGAGTCAAAAAAAACTGAATACATATTTATATTGAATTTTATATTAGTATTAAACCAGATAATTTTCTTGTTGGTATTAACAAGGATTCGACGAAGGTCAGTTCTAATATTCTTTATGAATATAATTTTATCTCGCTATTAGATATTTCTCATCGATTTTGGTCTAGCAAAAAAATTTTATGATCATCGTTTACACAAACATATTTCATATAAAGAAGGCAAAAGTTTAACAGGTACCCCACGATATGTTTCTGTATGTATTTATTTGAAAAATAAGAATTAAAATTCTTTTTCTTTTTTTTTCAAGATTTCAACTCATCTTGGTATTGAACAATCACGTCGTGATGATATGGAAGCACTTGCTTATGTTCTTATCTATTTTAATCGGTTTGCATATCTCTTCATTTTATTTTTCTGAAGCTCGATTTTATTAGAGGTACTCTACCATGGCAAGGTATAAAAGCAATAAATAAACGACAGAAATATGAAAAAATTTGTGAATTAAAAATGTCTATTACAATAACTAATCTCTGTGCTGGTTTTTCACCTGAATTTGCAATGTATTTAAATTATTGTCGTCGATTATATTATACAGATGAGCCCGATTATTTTTATATACGACAAATTTTTCGTAATTTATCTTTTCGTCTCAATTATCAATATGATTCGATTTTCGATTGGATTCTATCGAAAAATTCAATATCAACAAATTTATCATGAATTCTTTACGTATAAAATTGATTCGTATAAGATGAGGTCATTACGTACACTTTTTCATATGATCGATACGCATGAATGCATATGTAAAGGAGTCTCGATTTTATTCTTCTTTCTTATTTTCGATGCAGCCATCGACTAAATAAATGTACACAGACCAATTCATCAAAAGTATGTGTATTTTATCTTTATTAATTTAAAATAAATTCATTGAAAAAACGTTTATATTATGTTAGTAGATCATTTTTTTCCTCCCACTATCAACGATAGTTTCAACTAAAACGTTACTAAACTACTGTTTATTTCAATGCAAGTATTACAATAATATAATACAATTTTGTAAAGTCGTTTTTTACTGGTAAAGTTAACAAATCTTAATCAATATTTATTACTCGATTAAATTATTTATTAGATATGTAGTTTGATCTATTCAGCGGTATCCAATTCTCTACACGGATCGACCTTGCCAAATCATATTGTTTTATTAAAATACAACATTCATTGACATTTATCTATGTAAGTCATTTTTGATATTTATTTTATTAATAATCTATTTCTATGATTTAAAAAGCGATTAACATATTCAAAAACTTGATATCATATCTTAGTAAGTACTTACTTTTGTAAAATAATTCATTTCTAGTTGCTATTTTTAGAGATATATCCGATAACTGATTTAAAGCATGAATTGCAATAAATCACGCAAGCCATTCAGTTAAAACGTACGTCAAATCACAACACAAATATAGATGATTTTTGTTGACACAATCTCCAAAATGGATTCATGGTTTGTTGCATCATTATTTTGAGTTTCTCATACCACCAGCGGTTTTATTTGTTAAAATTATATCTGTCATGTCTAAACTGTACTTCCCGCATACCAGATCGGCAAAGGTAATTAAAAAATATATTATATACTATTGAAGTTAATCTGAACTTAAAAATAATTTTTTCCAGATAAAAAAATCTATAAGCTAAATCTAGTCTAGAGTTTTGAGTTCATCACCTCACTATTCAGATTATCAAAATGATGATCTGATAACGCTGGAATGTTGACAATAATGTAACAGATCTTAATAAAATAAACTAAAGCTTTCAGCACATCAAATGCCATCGTCAGTAGAATTCATGTTGATTAAACATAATACATTATTGTCATCATTTATAGTTATACAGACAAACATACGTAGTGTTCTATTAATTGTGTATTTATTATTTGTAGTTTCAGTGATATACAATTGTAGTTCATTATTCTTGCATTACAGTATTTTTACGACTGACGATGGCATTTGTTGTGTTGAAAGCTTTGATTTATTTTATTAACGATGGAATGTTATATAACTTGATAAATCTTCAGTCAATCCAGATAATAAATTATTTTTTATTTATTTAGAACATGGCTCGTAATTAACTTCGCAGCATATTTTCCAAAGCCAAAAATTTAACTTCAAAATCCTACATCATCAACGACTATTTCGATAAATTATATATTTACTTATACTTATTATGTATGTACCACATCTTCTATATACCATCCCCTTTTCCTCCGCATATTCATCTCCTATAATAATCCAACTATTGATTCAAGCTAGTTATATGTTGTAAGTATTTTATTGTTTTTTTTTCTCTATTCGTAATTTTTATTATTTTTTTCGAAGAATCCATAAAATAATCAAACGAATTTATTCTAACAACACTGGTGATTCAGCAATAATCGGTAAATAGATAACTAGAAATACATTACTCAGAATTCAATTGCGATCTTTCATCCAAATATACGATCAATGATGTCCAAGCGGATTAATATTAAACAATACATTTTTAATATGAAATAAAAAAGAAAACTATCCATAAAAATTCGTACTTTCTCTTTATTGAAGGTATAAATGAATATATTAATTGTTTTATCAATGTTTACATTGATAAATATAATCAATTTATTGTAAATTCCTCTAGTGTGAAATAAATAAACATTTTTAATCAAAAAAAACATTCTTTCTCTATCTGAACCAAAGAAGAAGAAAAAAAACAATCACATAAATATGTCGATAGTATCAATTAAATATTTACAATCGATACAGCTAAAAAAAACAATTCTAACGAATATTATTCATTCGGTGTTACAGCTGTTAAAGATTCAGTTGCTATGCTATTATTATTATTTTTATTTAAATGTGATTGATGAAGATATTGATATTGTGAAAGTTGATCAGCATGACAATAATCATATGGTGAATCATAATAGGGCTAAAATAATAGAATTAAGATACTATAGCTTATTATCTTGTATGCTTACAATTATTGTTGCTTCAGAATTATTGAGTACATCTAAAGATCAAAATATAAATGGATGAATACATACGTTATTTAAATCTACCTGTTGTCTGTTCTATTTCTCCACCAACACCACCTTTATAATGTAGGTATGAAATAACTGAATCAGGTATTGTTTTTTTATTTGTTGATGGTGTTGCTGTTTTAATGGGTGGTTTTGCAGTTAAACCAGTTGACATTAACATCATTTGATTAGTTAATGTACGTTGATTATCATGTATTTTTGATCGATGTTTTTTTATATCATTATTACAACGTTTTGTTGTAGCTCCAGATGCAGCTAAAACACTATTTGATGATGTTTTTAGTTTATTACCTTTATTTGTTGACGATGATTTATTGTTTACACGAGGTTGTGTATTCGCATTTGAACGAGTTTTTTTCGATGAAGAACGCGTTTTCGGTGTTGTAGGAGGAGCTCGAGAATTTAATGGAGTTTGCGGTAATAGATTAGTCGAAGGTGGTAGTGGTGGATTTGGTTGAACGAAAGAACGATTAATCGGTGCTAAAAAAAAGATACTAAAAAAACATCCAGAATTCTTCTATTTCAATTTACTATCATTATCATAATGTTCAAAATCATCTCGCCATTTGACTTTGCTTGGTGTATTCACTGCTGTTGGTCGATTTTCTATTGTTAAATTAGCTTGTGTATGATTTAATGGACGTTGTACACGAAGAATAACCTAATAAAAAAAGATCAATAAAATAAATATATTACTGTTTTTGAACATACTGGGTAAGGTGATGCATAACTAAGAATAGTTAATGCATCTTCATACACAATCGAATCGAAACATACAGTTAATGCCATGATACGATCACCTATCAAATAAATTCTAATAGAATAAAAAAAAGCTCATGTTAATTTAACCTGTTGCTAATTGATTCGATGCTGAATTTGATTTTTTTTGAGCTTGTGAAAAATTTTTATCAAGTATTTCTTTAATAAATATTCCTGCACGCATATTTCCTGTTATACTAAAATTAAGACCACCAAATGTTGGATCTAATAATTCAATATCAATCATTTCGAAATCCTAATGAAAATTAAAAGCAACAAGAAAAAAACAAGAAAGAAATTTAAAACAAACTTGATCCATATTCACTGAACGAAATGAAGATGAAATACGATTTAACCAATCAATACGATTATAATGACTATTTATACTTGAAGTTTGGGAATGACGAAATGGAAATGTACCAAACTAGAAATAAATAATTAAATCAAAAGAAGAAATTTTATTTTTTTACTTTATAAGCAGTAACATCAAGTGGTAATGGATTAGCATTATGATCTAAACATATAGAAGAAGAATTATCGAATTAGTTTCTTAGAAACAAACCATCGTTGATCTTTTGTTTTCGTTTAGGAGTCAATGAAGACGAAACAGCAAATTGATGATGTTGTTGTAAATTTTTTATTTTATGATTATCATACATATGTTTATAATGTAATTCTATGAAATACAAAAAATCAATTAATAATAAATACAAAAACTAGAAAAAAAACCTTTAAATTTTGGTCGTAAATAAATTAACCATGTAAGAAATCCAATCAATGCTGATAATAATAATGTACCAATAATTGAACCAATTAAAGCTCCATTTGTTACACATGATGCATCTAATTTGCTTGATTTTTGTAATGCAGGAGTTGTTATTCCTGTACCACTAAGTTCAAGAAAAGGATCAACTAGAACACTACCAGTAACAACTGTAGTTTGACTTTGAACTAAATCAATTGACATTTGTTACATGAATTGAACTAGATAAGATAATTATATATATATATTAGAATAAATGAAAGAAAGTAATGTGTCAATGATAATTTTTCATTCTACCTGGAATTGAGGATAAAGAAATATACATAAT